CCCCTAAACACATACAGCTCTATAGGTTCATTTGCTACATTCATCTCATCTTCACTCTCCATTTTAAATTCTTCTCAAGAGTGCAGTTTCAGTCGTGAAGTTCTTCGGTTCAAAGATACAGTTGGGTCGAATTTATTGATAGTATCAATAGCTGTCATGTTCACGGGTTTAATAGTGTTCCTCATTTATTTGTTACTGTCATATGGCTATTATTTGTGATTTTATGATATCTGTCGCAATTGTTACCAGTGTAGATTAATTTCAAATTTGAGAGCATTCGAATGGAACCAACCGAAATGGATACATCTGCCGTTAATCACAAGGGATGGTTCTAAAAAACTGTCGAAACGTGATCACGTGAGTGCCAGTTTGAATTTGATGTAGTTCACAGAAATAAGCGATAGTGATTCTATCATCTCACTTTTCATTCAGGTAGAATTGAATTATTTGATAATGTTAATGGAATTGGTACACTACTCGATTTCGAGCAAAAGTTTCCTTGCGAAAGGAAAGCGAACCTGCGACGTACCAATAACCAATTGGGTGTTCTACCTTTGAGCTATCGCGAAGACCGTACAGTTTCTTCCGAATGGTTGAATAGAATTTACAATCGTTGGTTCAAGACACCTGAAGCGAAACTGATCTAATGAACGTGAAACGCTACAATCAGGGTGAACTGGTCTATACGTGATCATAATAAAATGAATAGATAATTAGATACAAACGAAATCATATCCTGGTTTAGGCTCGGTAAAGATTCCCGTTCGCGGGGGAAAGTTTTGCTCGAAATCGAGTGGTGTACCACTGTCATTGATTTTACCGAGCCTGAGCCCGGCTACGATTCGACTTATATCTAATTACCTTGTACGTGTTCATCGAGATGGAGTTTTTAATTAATGATCAGGAAATAAAAGATGTACGCGTAATACGAAGGAAAATCTTTGTGGTGTAATTACTCGTATGATTCGACCGACAGTTGAAATGATTATTTATCCTCTTAAATTTCAACAGTTCTTTTCAAAATGTATTTTGAAATTGACGTCAGAGAATCATCAATTAGGGGTTAAGCACTGTAATTTATTTTTATGATCAACTATTGCAGGATTCGTTTGTTGAATTCTACCACGAGCATGAAGGTTACCTACCATTGGCAGTCATCAATTTTCTGTTGCGAAACGGAAGTGGTATACGTAACTTTAATGTCAATCATTTGTATACGATCGATGAACTCATTGAAAACTTCGATGTGAACACCATTGGAAGACGTAATTTCATGGTAAATTGCTCTTTTGTTACGATATTTCTTAAACATTCATTCGTTTTAGGAACATTCNCAATATTTGCATATTCGTTTTTCTGTTTTGCAGAAAACATCGGAATTGATGAATGAATGCGATTTCAGATGGATCGACAAAGTCTGGATCAGTACGGACGTTTAGCCTTTGAAAGTGCTGACTTTGATGGTTTGATCGAAGATGAACTCATAAAATACGTCAAGAAACATTTCGGTTGTGACGAAGGATTGAATGAATTGATTAACGACACGAAATATCTCAAAAAAGTCATCGCTTTCCTACGATCCAACGAAGAGACCTTCTCACACATATCGCAACTCTCATCAAATCAGTTCAAATTTCTGTTCTCCTATCCGTCTGATTCAAAGAAAATTATCGATGAATTCGATCGAAATTTAGCGATTGCGATCATAAATTCAGTTCGCAACTGTGACGATCGTAACTTGGATGCACTGAAGCGTTTAGCGAAAGAAAACGATATGAAATATCCGAAACTGTTGCATCTTGTAAGACTCGCGTTGATCAACAATCCGCACGGTCCACCAATACTTGAATTATTTGATTTCTTCGGTGAACAACAGTGTAATGAACGCTTTGATAGAATGTTAGGAATGCTGAATAATACTGCCAAATAATTTATCTCTGTATTGCACCGTAAAGATATAAGTAGCGAATTGAAGTCAAAATCGAATTGTCAACGAAGAATGCTAGAAGGCTTTTAATATTTGTCTCAGATACCTCTTTTGTTCTGAGTGATTCTGAAGATTTTAATTTTTCACCAATCGTGAGAGTTATCGTAATGATGTTATTTTATTTTGCTTGTTTAGATTTTACATTTAAAGTTGTTGATTTGTATTCTGATTTATGTTGTAATAAAACGCTTCATTTGATTCGTCTGATTGCCCCGTATTTTGATCACAGATTTCACCGTTGAACGTACTTTGTTATGGAATGAATATTTTTAGCCATTCTACACGGATACCACTGATTTGTTTTCTTTTGTTTCGCACTCAGCAATAATTGTTAGCTTCAATGCTTCAGCAAATTATCGCTCAGTTCGTTGGCTAAATTAATATTGATCACAGGTGGGACGCAGAAATGAAAGAATTATGAAATGAAACTTAAAATCTTTTGTATTTGATGAGTGTGAATATTGAATTNTTTCTTTTGTTTCACACTCAGCAATAATTGTTAGCTTCAATGCTTCGGCAAATTATCGCTCAGTTGGTTGGCTGAATTAATATTGATTATAGGTGAGACGCAGAAATGAAAGAGTTATGAAATGAAACTTAAGATCTTTTGTATTTGATGAGTGTGAATATTGAATTGTTGAGAAATTCAAAGTTTGTTCCATAGGTATAGAATCA